TGGAAATTACCTGATCATAGCCTCACGTTTTGACAAAGCAAAAGCAAGTTATTTCTGGCTCTCCCGGCAAAGGACACCCTTTGTTACGTATTATTTTTAGACAGCCATTACAGCCATATTCGAGATCTGGAGGATTTTACTGCAACACATTTCTGCGAGGCAGCTGCACCCACACGCTTAAAAAAACAACTTCTAACTAGCCCAGCCCGAGACAAACACTTGCCTTTGTGGATCATACAGAACAAGTCCTGCACCTTGTAAATAAAAAGTAAACAGCCAAGAGGATGTGTGATGGTCTTGGCCCATCTGTAACCACCAGTAAACCTTTCTTCAAAACAGCTGACCAATTCATTTTTATGTTTTCTCTAGCACTACTGTATTTGCTTGCTTCAAACAGCAGTTTGTCCTGCCATAAGTTTATGAGCAGGACTTCAGAGATAGATACACCTGTCATTACTTGTAGAAAGTGAATCAAGGTCCAGAGAGCTTAAGTACCTTTGCTAAGGAAATCCCATAGAACAGGCAAAGTACTTTCAAACTCCTTCCCACCACCACCCCCAATCAGGGAACCAGCGTGCTGCTCTCTTAACAAAACTATTAAAACAGCTAACACTTCTGCAGCGCATTTCACATAGAGATAGATCTTTAGGATAGACAGGCCTAGTAACTTAAATTTCCAATATTAAAAAAAAAAAAGTATGTAGAGACCATCTGGTCCTTTGTGTACTCGCCTGTGAGGAATTACTCTCCCATTATATTACTTAAGTGATCCTACCATCAGTTTTACAACATTATGATTTAGTTAATATTGTTGCACTGGAATTCAGCTTGTGATAGAAAAATTAAAGAGGGAGCAGTAAACTACATCATAAAAATCAGTGCCCAACGTATAAAAATTACTAGAACTTATAAATGTTGTCGAGGAGCTAGTAATAATAAAATCTTACTTATGATTTAAAAAGTTGTTTTAAATGATAATCAACATGTGTATCTGCCCTGCAGCTATACAAATGCTTTCTAACTGGAGACAAGTTTTCCAGAGAGAACTTGCAGGTGTCCGTATTCTCATGTGTCTGATGTGCAAGTAAGTCTGGCACTTTTCCAGTTTTTTTCCTGCCAGGTGGACTACAGCATTCCATAACTGGATGTCCCTTCAGTGACGCAGCGCTCCTTGTTGGTATTTGCATCATTTAACCATCTCTTTGTAGCTGAAACTCATGCTTTATTCTCTCTAGTAAGCTGTTGTATTTACATGGCTTTTTCTTGAAACTCATCTTCCAGCTCTGTGCATAGGGCATATTTGGTAAAAACACTCCATCCATAAGGTGTAAGGTCTTAAACTTCACACTGATAAAAATGGGAAGTGGCAGTTCCAAAATGATTTCATTAAAAAGACAGCGGCAGCATCGATTCCCACAACCTATTGACCAAGGACTCACAGCACAGCCTGAATCAATCACGACAGCATGCTATACTGTCAGAACCTGATTTCCTAACAGATTTGAAATGAAAAACTTCTGATCCACAGTAGCCTAATGCAGAAAGGCCTTGCTGCTCCTCAGATTCTCTACAAAATTTCAAATGACTGCTGAGCTTCATTTCCTGGTTCCCATAATGGAGACAAGTGTCTCCACCTCAAATTACTAGCATGCAGGCAGGGTTCATCAGTGTTCTGTATCCTCTCAATAACTCTCTGTAAGAAGGTATAAGGAGTTGTCACCACAGGCTGTCCAGGCTCTGGCACAGAATGCACGTCATTCCTTCATATAGCACTTCAGAGCAACAGCACAAAGATCACAGCAGGCTCAACACATAGTTCAGTATTAGGAGCGTTACACTTTTCAATCATTTCTCATTGACATTATAACAGACTACCAGATCAGGATCCTCAACCCCTCCCTCCATGTTAAATATCAGTATGTTAGTCCCTATCATTTCAAAACACCAGAGTATGTAGTATTGTCTAGGGCATTTGACTAGTCCTCAGCACACTCTTCTATGATCTCAAACATCTGTTTCCTCTGCCTTTTCCATCTCACAAGTGAGACTTGGTGACTCAAAGTACTATTCTTTCTATTTATGGACAAGGAGGAAACAATTCTACTGGGATACTGTACAAATTTAAGCAAAAAATAACTGGCTCTCTGAACCACAGTTTGATGACAACACGACCCTCACCACCTTTTTTGGCACTAGCTCAACGTGTGCATGGGGCTTCAGTCCCAGTCCATGAGAATCTACGTACCCCTACTTGGATTCATCAAGGTCTTAAGTTGCCACTGCTGACTCACGCTGCAGGGAAGACTTCCACAGAAGGAGCATCTTCTGCCTACCAGCTTTCATCTGCACTAGTTATCAAATTCTCAAGAGAAACACTTCAAGAAGGAAGGATCATGTAAACAAACACAAATGCTATTTATCTGCTTTATCCTCCTCTTTCCTTGCAGAATCAAGCTTCATGAAACACATTTCTATACTGCTCAAATGTATCACCTTTGTTTTACAGATTAATAAAGATCAACTGAGATCTGCTGCTGCACTTAAATATTGGCAGTGGTGTTGGTCTTCCCTGGATGGAACTCTGATCCCTCTGCTGGTCTGAACAGCTGGATGGTGAAGGGACAAGCAAGAGGCAGAACCCACTCCACACGTCCTTTAGAACCTGCAAGAATCTTTCCATTTCAAGATAGGTTTGGGACTGCCATAACATGCGTGCGTGGGTGTATTCTTCCTATCACTGTGAAGAATGTGCCTAACTTCGCTCAGTCATGTGATGCCTCAAGACAATCTACCCCTATAAAGTTTTCAAGTCTGGCTTCCACCTATACAGTTTATACCTTCAGACTCATCTATGCATGATTAATATTCCCCTCCAAAACACTGTCTCATAAGATACAACATTATCATGGTCCTCTCATTCTGCAAGGGGATGCTTTTTGATCTCACTTACCTCATCAGTTGTGGTATATGGCACTGGTAGCGTACTTGCAGGCATGACTGTGCAAGGCTGGTTGTTCTCAAACCTCACTGAAGCCAGAACAGCATACACTGTGGAAAAGATGCTGAAACCCTATTAAAAAACATGTTATGGCAATGTGCTGACAGACAAAACAACTGTTTATCTTCAGTCTGCGAGGCTGTAATGCTCCTCCACCTCTTCTGACTGATCTTTGTGAACTGCTGTATTTAAAGACAAATCCACTTATCACTGATCCATCTCCTAATTATCACTGATACACTGGCAGAAAGGCTGACTTCTTTTTCATACCAGACTGAGTGGATATATGGTCTAAAGTCCTAGATGACAATTCCAGGACAAGAAACAACCTTTTGGCTTCAAATATGGAAGAAAAGTGTTGGCCCTTTTTAACCCTACATGTTTACTGAGTATCTTCCTTGTTCTCTGGTCAGGAAGAATTATCTGCGTTTTCCTCTTCATTCCTCTGATCCTGAAGTTTTAGCTGTAATATGACAAAAAGGTGAGTAAAGATGAAATAATACTGGTGTTCATCCATGTTCACCAACTGCTAAGAAATCAAAGATTTTTGCTTCTTATGGCCTCACTAACTCTTACTTCCTGCACACACCATCTTTCTCATCCTCAGAATCAAAATGGCCCTCTATTTATAAAATTGGTAAGATCCTTTGAAACAGAACAGTTCAGTTCATGCTGATCCAAACAAATGGTCTTCACTGAAACACAAGTTTTATAACAGACTGGAGGCTGAGTTAAGCCTTTTAAGGTACTGATAAAGACAGAGCTCTTTTATCTTCACAGCTCCACCAGAACTCAAGCTATATCAGTGTGCTTGCTAAGAAATACTTCTGTGAGTTGCATCTGCTAGGCAGTCCTGTGGAATGTTATCTATAGATAATACTTAAAGATCATTTGACAGAGTGGTCTTTAAGCTGCACAGCTGCTATCCAAAGGCCCTTACCCCACTTCCATTTAAGCCTTTGTGGGAACTACTGCTTGCAGTCACCTACTGCAGATAGAAAGATATGTTAAGCACTGTGCTGAGATACACAATTGACAAGGGAACCTACTTCCTGCCTTACTTATCCTTCCACTATCTATCCTGAATCCTTTAACATCAAGTACCTTTGCGATTTTGCAGTTACAAGATGGTCTCTACCATACATGCTCATAACTGTTGCATGATGGAAGGTGGGGCTTGAGCTCACGCCTACACGACACTGCAAAGATAAAAAAAGAATCTTCAGTACTAGGATATACATGAAAGCATATGTAAACTACACTTCAACAAAACAAAATATCCCCAAATTACAAAATTCTGCAGCAAAAGCACAAAGCTTGCCCACCTACTCACCTGTAGGTGTTCTAAACAGCAAAACTACTGGAGACTTCTATCAAGCACAAACCTTTGAAGCACAGCTATTTGCACTTATGTGTAATGATATTGTTGTTTACAAAAGAGCAGACAGAGCTCCTTCTCTCCCATCGTTGCCACTTCGGCATTAATTATTCAATTCCTAGAGTTTACAGTTTGGCACCTTTATTATGTTCTGCATAATAACTCCAGCTGCAAAGCTCTTTATGGGAAGCTATTCCCATAAACAAGTCACCGATCTTCTGTTTAGCTCCCAGAATTGCCTCCCTGCACGATCAGATGAAAATGACCGTCAGCGCAAGGGAGGCAGCAGGAAAGTAATTCCAGGGTTTGGGAGTGCCCCTTCAGCATCCCTAGTCATTAGCTTAACTGATAAAAGAAGCTGCATGTTTAGAAATGGGGTGTCTGTCAATTCACATAGGATAATTAACCTAGCCAAGTTACAGGAAAAGACAAAATGTAATGGGTAGGACTCAAAAAGCAAAACAGTAATTGCTATGTAAGAAGTTCTAAAAATATACTTGCATAGCAAAGAATTACAAAACACTGTGGCTAAACAATTTATGTTGGATTTTGATTTCTTTTTTTGCAAGACGAGGAAACCTTAGTAGCAGATAAAAGACAATTTATAGACAGTTAATGCAACAAAAAAAGCACACCTATTTGAACTGAAAAAAATTTGTGAAAGGCAGCCATAGCAAAGGGAAAACAAAGTGCTCTCCACACAAATTTGATATACAATATATTTCTCAAGTCAAACATCAATTTCAGTACCTTAATTTCTTTAATTTCTCCTTGTGGTTGTTCTCCTCATCAGGTTTGAATTTCAGAAGACACTTCTTTTAGCACAAACTCAGCCAGCAAAACCCATGTAAACAATATTACTGAAAATACATCATTACTTTCTCTGATAACCCTCTCCTACTCCATGATCCTTTCCTCTACACTGGAAAGGATCCTCTACACAGCCTTCATCCAAGCAAGAAAAAGTTCCTTGCTGCCTTAATAAAGTTTAATAATATATAAAGTTTATTTTATTTATTAAATCCTTAGAGTGACTTCTCAATTCCTTGCTGTCAGTATCAAAACTTGCAAGTGTAATGTGATGAACTATAAACTCTGAATGAAGTTGTTTTCCTAGTTAGGTCACTCACAAATGTGTATCTCTAAGGAATGATCTCCAATGTTTACAATGAGTTAATACTTCAGCCTTAGTATAATTAAGTTAAAATTCAATCACAAATCCAGTCATAATTACTTTACTACCAGTTCCTCATTCATTTTAGAGGACAGACCTGGTCTGCAGATGATTAAGTCAGTATGCAATGGAGGAAGCTTTGCTGTTAGAATCCCTAGTCATTTACTGCAGAAGAAATCCTGAAATAGATGGGCTCATTCAGAATTAAAACCCTGTCTCCTCACTTACAAGGCAAAGGACTACAAAGCAAGGTGACATTAAAATCTGGTGAGGAAAAATCAAGTGAAAAAGTAAGTCAGAAGCAAGACTCAATACATGACATCTACAGAAACAGCCAAGAGAATCAGACATGGCTCATGGCTTCCTCTGTTCAGAGAAAACCAACTCGTATGTATCATTTAACAAACAGTAATGAGCCCTGTGCAAGTTTTCTTTGCCTTGTCTCAGACATGCCTACCACCTCAGCCAGGGCCTGATGCTGGCTAATAAAGAGATCGTCCAAACTCACGCATCTATAAATCAGTTCTGATATATAATATGGCTTCATAATGTAGACAGAATCTCAATAGGCTCAAAAAATGCTAGAACAGGAACTTCAAACTGAGCACTTCTAAAAGACATGTTCCAGCACCATCCTTACTCCACATAAAGGTTAAGTATAAATAAATCCTGTGAGCATGCTATCATATGCTGAACTCCCAAGTCAAAAATCACTGATGTACACCTCTGATGTGCTATAAATCCAGAACGATAAAGAGATTAGACAGTTGTGTTTGTAACAAATGAGGTCATTAATAAAAAAGCACAAAGGCATCATGGTTTTGGCAGCGAATGCTGCTTCAAGTTTCTCACAACTACTGTGTAATTGCTCATTCTTTAATTCCTGAGCACCCAACTTGACATCTTGACACCTGATGAGCAGAGCCAAGTGCCTGCTGAAGTTACTGGGGTATGTATGCTAAATATATAAGTACTCTCCTATGTTAAGTGTTCTTAGAAATCGTGTCCTTTAGATGCTACATTAGACATCCAAATTTAGTACTCCTGACCTCTATTTTAAGGTTTTGATCATTAAGTTGACACTGTCTAGATAGAGTCCTAGAAGAGGCTGGAGTCTATACAAGGAGGAAAAAAGATCATTTTATAAAATATATTACCTCAGTGTACACAAAAGGCACCAATTCTTTGTGCTTGATGTAAGAACTCCTATTTCTTGATATAGTTTCTGTCTTCAGGATTTCACATGGAAAATGCATCACTGATGCAGAAGTTGCTAGAGGTGAAGTCAAAGGTTTAAGTCATTCAGTAAGGAAAACAAGCTTATTAGAGCAGGTTTGGAGATCAATACATTAACTGCCCAATTCTGCTACAACAAGGTAACTAGCAAAACAGTTAATACTCCCAACATTGGTATTATCATATGCCATTATAACATTTAATGTTTCCAAAGGTATACAAATTCAGAAAGACAGGACTACACCAATTTATCACTGCAGTATCACTATTATCTTTTCTACCAAGAAATAAATGGATGTAAGGAAACAAAAAATCAGATTAACACGAACAGCTCAGTGACTGGAGACTCTGGGACCGCAGAACACAAAGCTCTGTCTGCAGCAACCGAACATCTACAATTGTCTAGTAACGTGTAACATAATATTGACAGAGAAATAGCTACATTTAAGGCATATTTTACATTCTGTCACAGTAGGAAGGGATACAAGGATTAAATCTAGTTTCCAACTGGTTTTAGGCTCTTGTTGTAGCCTCCTGGGAGCCTTCTGAGTTCAATGTGCATGTCAGTATTGAAAATAACAAAGTTGGTTACTTACAATTACTGCAGCGACATCTCCTTCTTCTCTGAGCCTGTAACACCTATTTTCCAGAGAACCCAAACAATTTTCTTGGGAGCAGGCTCTCTTAGTTTTCCAATATTCTACAAAACGGGGAGCTAGGAACTTGAAGTTTGCTCCAGGGACTGGAGTGAGAAATTACCTTTTTATAATCATCTAATATCAGATCATTTTTCCTTCATGACAGGCTCAGTTAAACATGCAAATAAAGTTGTTTATTCGCAGTATCTGAAACAGATAACAAGTTTATAAAGGCATAAATGGGGGGAAATTAAGAAAAAAAAATTACTCTTCTGAAGAGTTTTGTCTTCTTCCCATCATGATGTGTTGCAGAGACTTTCCCAATATCCAGTTTGCCAAATGAAGTTCTTTTACATACTTGCACCTCAGGCTGCCCATTTTATGACGAATCTGTATCTTTAGACTACTGCTACGCTGGTGCTGCTACATTCACCACAAGCTGGCAGTCTGGAGCCTTCTCTAGGAATTGCAGTTACTCTTTCCTTCGCCTGTCACTAGATCACCAAGAGCTCTTTGTTTTATTCTTTATATTACTTGGTTGTTTGTGAAAAGACTTTCTGGCCCCAGCTTTGCTCAGATTTTTAAGACCTACTTTCTACACTACAAAGTGTATCTTTGTAAAACAGAAAGTAGTTCCAGCTATTTCAGTCAATCTGTGATAAACATCTATACATTATGTACTGAATCACTGGTTTTCAAACCATTTAGAAGATAATTTAAAGAAATAATCAACTTTCATTAACCTCAACTTTCACTAACGCTTAAGGAAGTTATCAGAATAGTATGTATGAAAAGATGAAGAGGTACAGAGAGGTGCATACAGAAAGAGCAACACGCAGTGGGAGAGCACAAAGTGAATTTCCAGTCTTCAATTTACTGTTACATTTTCCACTACAAATTGGGAAAAATCTTCAAATTCATAGCTGTTAAAAAAAAAACCCAAACAGTTAATAGAGCCACATATTCTGCTATTACCAGGCTTTACTTGGTTTGATAAGTCTGTGTAATTCCAAGTAAAATTCAACATAACTGTTACAATTTTATAGTTCTCCAAGAGATGCTTGATTATATCTTTCTATTCATTATTAATATTGCATGTTAAATAATCACCGTAATTTCTTGCTAACAGACTGATGATAGAGGCTTCTTAACCAAGCTCTCACACCTCTATAACTGAGTCTAGTTGGCAGATCCAGCCAAGACCAATCTTTGTTTTTAAAGTAGTTGCATTCATATAAATGCAATTTGTAACAGTGGAAACTGAGCAAGTCAAAGTACCTTCACCTCAAATCACTTCAGCCTCAGTCACTTGACCTCAATCACCTATGGTAGCAGTTCAACTGTCTCAGTAGAAACACACTGTAAGTTAAAAGTTATAATACAGGACAAAGGAGGACTGCAAGCACACAGCGTAACAGCTATTTTGTTGGGATTCTGAGTAGTGTATGAATAAAAAAAAAAAAAAGTGACATGAGATTTCCAAAGGAAGCATGTACCATAACAGATTATTTGCTTTATGCTGACTGGCATTTAGAAGACCCCACCAGCACTACAGAAATACAAACATAGAAATATTATAGAAGAATGTTGAAGAGCTCCACTATTTCAAATCAAAAAAGTGATCAACTGCCATATATCTACTGAAACACTTTTTTACTAAATCTGTTCAATTAAAAAAAAATCAATTAACTGATGAAAACAACTCAAATCAAAAGAAAGTTCTTGCTTAAGCACTATTTTACTCCCTGAACCTTAATATAAAATTTATTATTGTTTCCAAACCAGTGATGATAATGTTTTCCTCCTGCTTCCAATCCCAAAGGTAAGATGCACGTTATTATGACCAGCAACACTTAAGTCAAAGAAGCAGAAATCTATGACTACCACTGGCAATTTGACGAAGTTCAAAGTCTTACCAGATCATATCTTTACCCACCTCTCTGCAGAAGTGACATACATTTAAAAAAAACCCAAAACAACAAAACCCCAAAACAAAAAAACAAAGCACCCTGTTTTACCCCCACCCAAAAAGCCTTGGATCACTCAGTCTACTTGACAACCTTAACTACTCCTCAATCGGAGAAGACAACCTACAACTGAACACCAAAACTGGAGGAGCTTTAACAAGAAAAATTCTAAGATGTCAAGCATATAGTGGGCCACTGCTTCGCTGAACTGATGCAACACATATCCTTCATCCCTCGACTGCCTTCCCCGTGATGGCTACACAGAACAGATGGAAGCGTCATTTGAACTGCCCCCTCCTGAGGCGGATAGTGGCTGTAAGTACAGCAAAACAGAGCCCCAAACCAAATCCAGTGTGCATTAGACCATAAATATATATCAAGACCGTTTTTTTTAAAAAACTTAAATATGCATAATGGAGATTAAATTCCTGAAAAGGTTGGGCTGTGCTCGGAATAACGGCGTGCCCGTGCGTCTCCGGAGCGATGCCCACGAAGGCCTCTCCTCAGGCTCCCGGCCAGGGTAGACTGCCGGCCCCTCCTGAAGCCGAGGCGCTGCCGGCAGCCCGCTGC